CCTTTCACATGCTAAGCACACATTCTACCTGTTTAACTTCAACTCTGCCAAATCAAGCTTTTGCACCTTGGGCAAGGTACTTAACCTCTCTGTCCCTCAGTTTCTTATTTTGTAAAGTGGATAATAATATCTCAATTTGAGGTTTTACTGTGATGTTACACAGAAAGTTCTTGGAATGATGCCTGGTACAGTCAGCTGCTCTGTAATGTTTCTGTTCTTATCATATAACCTGTAAAGATAAAGTAGAATTGCAATGTGCTCGGACAACAGACTTCTAGAAAAATCTATCTTTATTAGTGATGAATGGAAACTTAATTACGCTTGACAGAGGTCACGTGGTCATCCTGTGCTGTGAAAGGACATCTTTGTTCAAGCTTTATTTGTTAGGAGTGTGGTGGGGGATAGAACACTGGTCACAGTAAGACCTCACTGACGCTGCTCATGGAGCCTACTGGCTTCATCTGCTGGGACACTGCCGTGTCATGAAACCACTGTCGACTCGTCTGATTTAGATGAACACTTGTGAGAGGGAAGTAAGAATTAGGGTAGTTAGAAAATATTTGTCCCAACCAGGAAGAGGGAGCTGGGGAGCTGTTACTTTTACCCTGGGACAGTGGATGTATGTAGACAGGAGTTTCAGGGAAACTAGAATTACTTACTAAAATTACTTACAAAATCAAAAACATAGAATACACTTTAAATATGTATGTGGTCTGGTTGGTATGAGGCCCTGTCTAGGATATTCTACCTTCGATAGACATCTTTACCTCAAAAGTACTTTCAGAAGATGCTAAATGGACCGTTTATTCCAACTCCATTCCGTTTCATTTGTTAGTACATTCAACTATGGTTGAATTTAGGTCTCAGCTACTATTTCCAGTCTCAGGGTTAGCTGACTGAATCTGGGGGAGAAGGGCCAATTCCTCCTCCCTGTCATGAATTGGAAAGTGATGGAAGCGAAGGAGGATGCCATGAATTAAGAATTTAACTTTTCTTTAATCTGAATTTTTAACCATCACATCCCTGAATTGAATTCCATTTTTGAAGCAGAGACTCATAACCAGTAGAGTTCAGCGAACCCAGGTCCTTTGGTTGACACCTGAGAAAAATGAAACCTATTCAAATTAGTGAGTTTCCTTGGTGGTTCACCTCTGTGGTATCAGAACCAGATTAGAACTCTGGTTTCTGTGATGGATTCCAGTGCTTTATTTGGTACCCTGGTTAAATCGTCAAAGAATTTTGTGTCTAGTGTGGAGGGGAAATTGCTTAGTGGTAGAGCGCATGCTTAGCATGCACAAGGTCCTGTGTTCAATCTCCAGCACCTCCATTAAAAAAAAATTGTGTCTAAATAAGTTAAATAACACTCTGTATCCTTTACTGCAGAAGATTTCTACCAAAAAGAAAAAAGTCTAAAATTAGGGAATTATTTACATCTGGCTTTATTCTCCTGTGAGAGCATTTGGATTTGAGAGCCAGTGGCACCCTGCCAGTGACAGACGGGGAGGCGCAGAGACTGCCTTCCCATCATCCGCTACCTTTTACGGTGTCAGGATTTCTCGCTTCCTTTGTGACCCAGCTGCAAAGCAGCTGTTGTCGAGGCTCCTGCTTTTCCACTCTCACAGTGCAGCGCTCCTGACCATCCCCAAGGGATTTAAACTTCTGCAGCCAGCGTGTCAGCCCTGAGCTCCGTGAGCCAAGGCCGGCTCTGTGGGGACCGATCAGCATAGCCGCTTTCCTTTGCCGTTGCTAAACCACTTGCGACGGAGGGGTCCAGTGAATTCTCATGGCAGACCGGAAGCGCCCACTGCACAAACACCCCAGCCGAATGGGTGGCGTCGTTGCTAATAGCTGAGGTTCAGGGGCTTTCCAATTGCACTCATTCCCTAAGCGGAGATCCCAGGGACCACTTTCTCCACCTAAAGCAAAGTTCCCTATTGGAAACTATTTTCTGTGAACTTGTGGTGCCATCTCATGGACCACAGAATGCTGATAAAAACTGTGGTTTCTATTTTTTCCCCCTTGTATAGAGCAGCTGTTGACAGTGACGACAGGGTTGACATTCAGGGTATCACTCAGGCCTCAAGATGTAGTCAGATTTACCCACTGAAACTTATGTCCTCTGTCATTAAGGCAACAGGACTTCCCAGTGAAAGTATGCATTTCTGAAGAGTGTTTTGAGTGTTTGCTTTTCCAAGATACTTAACATTTTCATGCATTTATGACCACCTACTATGCATCTGGCCCTTGGCTAAGTGTTGACTAAACAAGTCCAAAGTGGTTTACCATTAGACAGGAAGATAACAAATGGTAATTAGCCTGCATATGGGAAGTGTCACAACAAAAGCGGGAATGAAGTGCTGTTAGAGCACCAGGAGGAGCTGACTCAGGGTAAAGAACTCTGGACTGCTTTAGTTTGGCCATGGCCGTAATTGGAAAGTTAACGAAGAATTCTAGAAGTAGAGTTTTGGGGGGTATTTTCTCTTTTAATGGTCAGTTAAACTAGGAAAAAAAAACTCAAGGCATTAATTTTTGTGCCCAGTTGTGATTTATGTTTTGATTTTCTGTGTTCTTTTTCGAAGCACTCACTCTGTCTCATCCCCGTCTGCTGACACGGTCACTCCCCGTCTCCTTCAGAGCCAGATGTGTTGACTGAGGGTATCTGTTTCCTCACTCCTCTCTCCAAACTTCCCCTCAGTCCTTCAGGCTTCAGGACCTTCAGGCTGTAGAAATACACCTGACTGAACCTGCCAGTCTCTGTGTCACTAAATCCACTGGGTGTTTTTCAGCAATTGACATAATTGACTACTTATAGCTTCTTGAAAATATGGTTTTACTATACCTCACGTGTCTTGATTCAGCCTGATTAGTAAACCACACCTTTGATAGCTAGATGTCTCAAATGTACCTCAGTCTCTACAAGTCTCAAAACGGAGCTCATAAGCTGTCTCCTTAACCTGATCTTTTTCTGTTATTTACCAGCTTTGTCTCAGTTTCAGAATCAGAAACCTGAGGTCATCTTTGCAACCTCTGCCTTCCTCCCCACGCCCCCTCCCTCTCCCTATCTGGATTACCCAAGTATGCCTCCTGTTGGTCCCCTAATCGTCATCTCCATTATCAACCCCATCACTCTCTTTTAAAAGTCTAGATTAATCTGCCTACATCCCTTCCATTCCCATCACAATCTCCATCACACTGCCCTCGGAGTGATATTTACAGAACAGACCAGGACAGAGTCCTTCCTGTAACCCATTAGCCAGACTGTTCTTTTCACATGATCTGTCTCTACTCCTCCTCTGTGCCTCCGGCATCCTGGGCTCCATGCAGTGTTTTTGGGTTCCTGCCACATAGATTTTACCTTTGCTGTGTCTCTGCTGTGAATACTTTGGTCTCCTCTTCACTAGTTAATCATACTCAGCTTTCAGATTCCTAGAGCAAGCAGCAATTCCTTTGGAAATGTTTCCTGATTTCTTCAACTAGATTTGAGGTGAAATTCACTGTCCTTGTTTTCGTCATCCTCATAACAGCTACAATTTTGGACACTTCGCAAGGGCAAGGGTCATGTCCTTATTCACCATTTTCATCCTAGTGCTTGACCCAGTGCCCAATAAATATTTGTTGAATTAAGGAAATCAATGAATAAACTTAATGAATTGCTGAAAGTTTATTGTTTTAATTTCAAGCAGACATATTTTTTCTGTTGGTCTGTGAGTCAAAGGTAAATTATATGTATTATTCTAAAGTCTGAAAATAGCCAATTTTGATTTAAAAATGGTTTGCATAAATTTCAGATAAAATTTTAGTATGTATTTATCTACAATTTAATTATAAATTTGATTCAAACACAGTTTCTCCTTACTTCACCACAACTTCCTCAGACATATCTGAATATCGTTCTCATCAGCTGATATTATGGATGGAGAAGTGTTTTGCTAAGATGTTGGCTTTAACTTGACTTAGAGTTTAGTATAGCAGTACAATGTAACAGCCTAAGCAGTTTGCCCAGATGGAGCCTAAGCTGTGGTTGTGTCCTTTCAAATTAATTATCTCCCACTAAAATGTTATTACAGTATGTGTGGATGACCTCTTTAATCTTGAAGAGAAAATATACAAGTGAGCAGCTGTAGAAAGGAGATGAAAACTTGTTATATAAGAGCAAATCTGAATGAGCTAAACACCTTCAGTTATGTCGCATTTTAGAAATTGCTATTTGTATTTATACCTCGAAATCTAACTTGAAATCATAATGTCAAATCTGTGTAGAAAGCAACATATAATTTAATTTTTTTATTAATCAGATATTTTAAATATTTATGAATGGCAAGTAACTTATTTTAAATAATTATTTAAAATCCTTCTTTTCCCCTTTTATTGAAACATGATTGATATACAAGAGGTTTTTGTTTTTGTTTTTGCCCATTTTTGCTTTCCTCTTTGCATTCTTGCAAGCTCTCTTTTACTTTCTTCTCAGGCAGGGTACCAGACATCGGGTGTTCCTCTTCCTTGCCAATGCTCAGTCTGTGGCCTCCTCCCCAGCCGGTCCTTCTTCAGTAGGCCTCCATATTCTCATGCCCCAGCATCCTGGTCAAACAGAACTTGATTACTCCACTGCACACCAGTCTTCCCACCAACACTCGCTTCCATGACATCTCTCCCATATGAATAAATGATTCCTGCATTCACCTGGAGCCACAAGCCAAAGCTGTGCGGTCATCTTTGACTCCTGTTTTTAGGTTATACCCCTACCCAATCCATCAGTCACCTATCTGCAAGATACTCCAAATCTAACCACATCTCACCGTTTTCCACTGCTTTCACCCTAACCTTAGCCGTGGAATATTAATAACCTCCTAAGTGATCTCCCTATTGTCTCTTCTGTGTCCCCTCCAGTCAGTTTTCCATCCAACAACTGTAGTGTATTCTGGTAAAAATATAAGTGAGATCATATTGTACCTCTATTTAAAAGCCTCCACAGTGTTCCTTCCTAGTCAAAAGAAATTCCAGGGCTTGTCTCAGCAGCACATATACCAAAATTGAAATGACACAGAGAGAATTAGCATGGCCTCCATGCAAGGATGACACACACTTGAGAATTTTTCCATATTTTGTGCAGTTCCCAGAGGCTTTTCGATGCTTTGCTGGTTTAACACTGAGGAAATGCTATGAATCAAAGCAACATGTGGCATCTAGTCCTGAAACTGTGAATTTTACTACCAAAAAAGAAAAATTAATTCCAAATACCTTCCAGTGCCTCGTATGTCCTACACAGTCTGGTCCCTATCTCTCACCCTCATTTCCTATGATTCTTTGTGGCATTTACTCTGCTGCCGCCATATTGGTTTTCTTGGTAAGCCCTAACATTCCAGACATGCCAGATCTTTGCGTGGTTCACTCACTCCCTTTACTTAGGTCACTTCTCAGGTGTCATCAAAGGCCTTTCTTAACCACTTTATCCGAAAACACCCTACCCACAATATGTATTACTCTTTCCTGTGTTATTAGCCTGTGTTATTTTTTTTTTAACCAAACTGCGTTAGGCTGAGAGTGTCCCCTGCTGGTGTGTGAACTATCACTCCACCACTAGAGTGGACTGCAGGACAGCAGGAACTTTGTCGTCATTACCAAGACCTGGAACACAGCCTGTTCCATAGCAGGAGCTCAAGACATTTCTGTGGAGTGAAATGTCACATCTCTAAAGCATTCTCTTTCCCTTCTCAGTAGACTCAGTTGTTCTGTGTTCTTGAGACACTTAGATGACACTCACACAGCACTGTTTTTAAAGAGTCCCCTCTAGATGTGTCCTTCCCTCAGTCACAGTCTCGAAACACCAAAGGCCCAACCCGCTCATTCACCTTTGAAACCCCAGAGTAAAATGAGCCAGTGATACAGGTATTCCTTCAGCTTTTTTTAAAAAAGAATTATCATTAGGGTATAAACTATAATTTACAACCTACTTACTTCATTTAGCAATAAATAATGAAAATCTCTTGTGGTTTAAATAATTTCTACAAAGTCGTTTTAATAGATACATAATATTTCATTGAAATTACATTTGATTAATCAAGCCTGGGCTAGTGGACACTGAATCTGTATAAACAACACTGCAATGAAAATAAATAGCCGTCTCTTGGTATTTACAGATATTTCCTTAGGGCAAATGCCTGGAAATAGAATTGTTTGGCCCAAGTGTATCTTTGACTTAAAGGCTTTGATCCATATCAGATTGCTCCCAGGAAGGTCTTGTCTTTTACTGTGTTTTAGCCATGTATTATCTGAGTGTCTGTTTTTATGAACCCTCAGGAATATCGAGTTCTGTCATTTGGGGACAACTTCACTGATAGATGAATAATAGCATCTCAATGTATTAATTTACATTAAGTGAACTGATTATTGAGTAAGTTTAACATGTTTTTAATGGGGATATCGGGCTCTATTTTTCGGTATTTGCAAACTGCTTATTTGTGCCTGCTGCTCGTGAAGCGTGCTGACATTTGAGCCAGGACCCCAGCTGCATGTGGATGGCCCACTTTAACTTCTTGGACTGAAGTTTGGTCTATTGCAGCTTTTCATCCCACTTGGTCAGTCATTTAATTTCAGCCAGTTTTGTGACCTCCTCTCCTTCCAAGTGTTCACCTAAATCTGGGAGGCTTAATGGTGCTCAGAAAGCTATGAGGGAGGTTGTCTTGGTCATCATAGCCTGAGCTGATACCTCTACCTTGAAATAGGACCTGGGATGGGATGCTTTTCAGAGAAGCTTTGCTCAGGTTGGGAGTTCCGGTTCTGGGATCCAGCCTTGCCCTAGGTACACTCCAGAGCCATCCCTCCCAGTTGAGGTCTCAACAGCTTCTCTGGATGCTGCTCCTGAACACACTGAGGGCACCCCTTGTCGCCAGCACCTGCCCTCTGTGTCATTGGACACACATTTTCATGGAGCTTAAGCTTATGACAATAACCTCCAGGTATCTCTCAGGCAGCTTCTACTTTGGGACAATTAGGAAAACAGATAACAAAAGGTCTGACATGTATAGAAAGTGAAACTTGGACACAGGGAGGAAACCCACAAGCTACTATCAGTACACTGTTTACCCACATTTATTTCTGTATCTGGTAGCCTTATTCCATTTTATTTTAAAGATTTCCAGAAGAAATATTATCTGTCCCTAAAAAAAAAATGAATATCATGGTCAAATTTTAGGTCTCTAATAATTTGATGGAAAATGTTTCAGTAGTTTGGAGATAAGAATATTTCATCATGAAAGTTACCACTGCCCATCCCTTCACTTTGCCTCTAATTAAGGTTAACTCTGGCTGATTATATATAATGACTTGGAGGGACTTTAGAACTAAATGCCTTGATGTAAATCATCTTGGTTTGTAAGAATTAATTCTACTGTTAGATTTTTTTAATGATATTTTTCTTGTGAGGAAGAAACACTTTTATATCCTGAAGACACACTGCATATAAAGACTGATGTTAAGATAGACTATCAATGCTTTCTCTATTTGTAAATGTTGGGGGTCACATTAATTTTTCAAGACCGTTTCATTGCTTTTTCATTTATATTCATTAAACTATAAGACAGGTTTAAACAGCACATTTACCAAACTACACATAAGTTTTTGGACCCATTTTATTGACTGCTTCCCATTCTTATCTGTTGGCTACATAGTTGAAGATGTGATTGTCACTGGTTGTGAAAAATGACTGACATTCACAATTGTCAGACAGTCCTCTGAAGTAAACACTGAGTGTATGGAAGTGGCTGCTGGACACACAGTCACAGAAGAAGATTCTTCTACAATTTACCTTAAAGCAGCTTCTAAATGTGAGTGGGGCCACCTAAGGGCAGTGCTGTGGTTTGCTCTTCGTATTAGTCTCATTGGTGTCCCTGCCAGTGCTGGAGGCCCAGGTGGTCCCTCGTTAGGATGTGACTGTTTGGTTGAGAATCAGGCTAGTTCCAAGATCTTCGTATAGATCTGTAGACCTTAGTTCATATGCCAGTTTCCAGAGGTAAAAAGGAGAAGTTACTGCTGTGTTCACAGCTCTGCAGTTTACTGAAAACATGCAAACTAGATAACGAAGGAGTAACTTTATTCTATTAAGTTATATATAAGAAAACAGCAGTAGCTCGTTTACTTGTTGACTGGTAATTATATTTACAGAATGCTCAGATGGCTCTAGGAGAAAAGTAGTATCTTACAGGAGTGAGTAATCTAGTTTATAAGACAAGATGGATTCAGTAATTACACCGTGTATGTGTATATATTCATAATTCAGCGTAACAGTGCAAAGTCGTGCTGTTTTCAGGTTCATTCAGTAAAATAGCAGTTCTGAGCTATGGCATCAAAACACACTGTGGAGGGGTGGTTGATACAATGAGTAATTTATTACTAAAAATAAGTACAAAATTTGGTGTATGGTTTACTTTTTAAAAGACAACAGTTCAATCTGAAACCATTAATAGTATAATTCTCTCTTGTTTAATATTCCTGAGTGCTTTGTCAAGTAGGAGTTCCAGGAGTATTTGGGGAGAGGGGATATGTGTATATAAATATATGTATATATATTTTTTTTAATATTTCTGTATGTTATAGTTGGAAAGGTATTGATCAGCAATCAGAAGAGATACTGTTTGCCTTGTACACCCACTCAGGGGTAGGCACCTATTTCTGAACTGTGGTAGCAGCTTCCAGTTTAATTAGAAAACAAAATAAATGAGCTGAAAATGAATCCTATGCTGTGAAACAGTCTGTCTAAACTTTCCTGAATATCTTACGTGTGTATGTTTTATTGCTGCCATTCAGAAGAGGACCTGACAAAGCCTAGTCCTCATTAAGGATACTGTTTTTCATGAATTTAAATGATACTAATCTTGAGTGTGTGTTTTTAATACTCAATACAGTGCTACAAATATTATAATAACAGGGCTACATATTGATCATCTCAAATCCCTCAGCTCGAACTACTGGTGCAGCCCTTGGCCAGGAAGATGTCTTTGCACTGGTTCTGGTCAGTTTTCCTCTTTCCTTATCTTTCTAGCTCTTCCCCTTGATCCCAGAGTCATTCGTGCCGCTTTAAGTACGACAGGTTAATTCTGCATATCAGCACTAATATGCTAACTGCAGAGAATGTCTTATCTAGAATTGTTCAAAGTTCTGATGTTAAGATTAAAGTTTTTACCAAGTATTTCAATAGCTCTGTTTGATATCCTTGACTCTCATCTTTTCCACCGTCGGTCACTCTTTGTGTCAGCATACTTAGTTTTTGCTATTTTAACTGCCTTGCGTTTGGATACTGAATTGTCACATGCAAACTGTTAAATACTTTCCTAGAATTACAACTTTGCAAACTTGAAATTTCACTTGCCAACCACCTTATTTGATGATGAAAGCCCTTGGTCTCAGTGCTCTGTGACATTCCCTTGCTGATTGGGTTATTTGTTTGCTCTGTGCCTCCTGTGACTAGGACTTGGAAGCAAGCACTCTGTGTTGTTCACGGCTGTATGTTTTATTTCCAGTCCTTAGAACAGTGCAAGGCAAATGGTAGGCATCAAATTAAAAAAAAATTAACCTACAAAAACACATGAACAAGCAAATAAGTCAGACCTGGCAGTGGAAACCAAGCCTCTCTGCTCCCACTTCTCTTGTTTGTCACAGCTGACTGCAGTCACTTTTTCTTGGTTTTCTGAACCACCACATGTGCCCAAACATCCCAACCAATATACAAAACCAGTAATGGTGTTTGGTGTCAGGAGTTTGTACAACCAGTGACTAATCTGTATCGCTTGCTTGTAGCGAACACTGACATGATCTAAAAGACACCAAGAGAAAACTGCTGAGAATGACTTTTTTTCTTCACTTTCTTAACTACCATCCCTCTATAATAGTAATAGCGAGAAGAGTAAAGTTGATTAAATGCAGTGTTACCTCCCAACCACCCCTTCCTAAGACCCAGTATTGTGTATGTTTGGTTGACTTATGCATTCGGCTGACTCTTGATTTTATATTCCCTCATGAGAATTGTATTTTCCTCATTATTTGGCACTTGAATAAATAGTGGTCAGAGCAGAAAGATCGGTTCTTGCATGATGGTTTGATACTCCCCCTCAAAAGACTCTTCTGGCCTTCAGTGTATTTGTTTTGCATTTAGGAGGTGGTCGGACTCATTGCCTTTAATAACCTGATTCATTTGAGTAATCTGAGACCACTGTCCTTTGAGTTCTAATGCATTTTTTAAAGCTACGTGCTGTAGCTTTGCCAGTGGACTACATGTAAGAATTTTACTGCCCTGTTTACTGTGACATTGATAAATGAGCCACTTTCTTCTCTTCTGTCCTTAAAACTTAAATGAAAGTTCACAGACCCTTTTATACTTTTGCATGTAACATGTGTGCAGTCTCTACACTGATGATAGTTTTCATTTTGCATCTTTTATTATCTTCTGCAAGTTCCTTGTACATTATTTCCCAGTGATGATTTAAAGGCTGACCCTGTGTTTTGAGGCTGTGTGAATAACACAACATACTCTGTGTCACTCAGAACTCAACATTCAGTTGCAGACTATACACATATACATATGTATATATCTACATATAAAATGACAGTTAACATTTATTATAAACTTAAAATAGGCCTGTGTACTGGAATAACTACTTTATGTGTATCCTTTCAGATAATTCAGTACTCATAAAACAGATTTTATTATCCTTATTAAAAATAGTAGACTATTTTTAGAGCAGTTTTTGGTTTATAAAAAAAATTGAGCAAAATGTACAGAATTGCCTTATATTATCACACTCCGACTATCCTACACAGTTTCCCTAATTGTACCAACTTGAGCTCGTGTTGCACATGTTACAATTGATGAGCCAATACTGATACATTATTATTGACCAAGGGCCATAATTTACATTAGGGTTCACTCTCTGTGTCGTGTGTTCTACGGGTTTTGACAAATGTATAATGACATGTATCTGCCATTACAGTATCGCACAGAATAGTTTCACTGCCCTAAAAGTCCTCTGTGCTCCACCTGTCCTCTCTTTTGTCATAGAGAAAATTAGAGCCAAGAGATAAAATGATTTTCTAAGGGTCACATAGCTTCCTAAGTGTGGGAGCTGTCCAGTTGTTGGGAATCTCTGCTCTTGACTCATATGTTAGACTGCCCGATTCATCGCAGCTATTTAATCCTGTAGAGAATCCTAACTTGCTAAGATGCTAGCTGATTCTTACTAACTTCATCAGAGTGTGAGATGTGTGGCAAGTATTTTGTCTATGCTTTCCTTTGAAGTTAAAATGCTGTGAGAAATATTGTGGGGAATTTTTAGTTGTTGGGGGTTGGACAAGACTTGTAAATTTAAGAGGAGTCATTGGCTGGAGTAGCACTATTAAAATGGAGGAAAGGAGGAAGTGAATTGACTGGTCGTTTGGTTATCGATAGCTTCAGGGATCATGGGTGAATAAAGGATACAGCAACAGGGAATTTTTATTTTAAAAAATTGTTTTAAATGAATGAATAAACAAAAAGGAGAGGCCATATGGAGAAATGACTCAAAGTTGCCTGAAATGTAGAATGTTAGGTTAACTAGACGCCTCTATATTTGGAAGATTTATCTGCATAACAGTGGTTTTAAAAATATATGCAAAGGAAAAAAGGATATCACCTGAAGTTCATGTAGTAGATGGTGTATAAATTAGAAAGAGTAAGCAGATAACATTGTAGCTTCTGGACACCAACCAGTCCCTTGCTTTCGCCCAGTCAGCATAAATCTTCATTCCAACCTTGTAAGACAAGACAGAACTGTTATAGGAAAGTTCTTCTTTGGGCTATTCTCCTACCTTGAGCCACCTCTTTTTTGGTTCAAGAAGCTAAAGAATGTATAGTTTTAGAATCTGCCTGGATTATATTGTTTAATGAAAAATGAGTTTATTGCATATGAGGCTTTCCCCCTACTTTTTGCTTATTTCCTTCTGAAGATGATAGTAATGTTTACTTAAAACCATAGCTGGGAAGAAGATGCAGCTTTAGATTAAATCCTGATTAGGAGTGTTGTAGTCCTGAGTGACAGCAATGAGGTCAAACAGTAGTTGCTTGAGACTGAATAAATCATGACTTAGTGCCTTCATATATAGAGTGTGAAACTGAAGACAGAATCATCTCAGAAGCTCAGATGGTGATAATCCTTTACAAGGAAGAATCAGTGAATGAAGACGAAACAAATTGAAAGGAGTAAATAAAATAGAAAATAAAAATATGTTTCCCACCATTTCTTGAAACTATCTTATCCTTTTGGTTTCTGTGAAACCATTTTTTTCACTTTTTTCTCTTGCTCTCCTGGTCTCTTCTCTTTGCCTTCTTGGATGAACTCACTCTCACTGTCTCTTCTTCTAATCTTGATGTTTCCCAGGGGTTCTGACCTTGGTCTTCTCTCTCAGCATATCCTCCTTGATCATCCTCGTTTAGATAAAAACAAAACACTTAAAAAAAAAAGATGATTACCAAGTAGACATGAGTCTGCTTCATTTGAGCCCAGGAGGTGACGAGTCCCTTATGATCCGCTGCTGAATCATCCATTTTCTCTGTTTTCAAGGGTCGTAAGAGTGAGGCTGAAAAATTCTTCTTGAAGGCTATTGAGCTGGATCCCACCAAAGGAAACTGTTACATGCATTATGGTGAGTGGTTGATAGTTTTTTCCGTGTCCCCCACATTTCCTATGAATGTTGATATGAGATATAGGTTTTGTTGTCAAAGAACATTCTGAGAGGGTGTTGACTTTGCTGTTGCAGAGTTTGCCTCGTGCTGTAGTCTTACGTTCTTGTTCAAAGCAGTCACGTTAACAAGGGCTGTGCGTTATGTTTCCCTTTAGTAATTTTCATAGGACTTCAGTGGGGAAAGGCATTTTCACAGTTTTGTTTTTTTTTTTCAAGTTCAGTTTGAAGTTTAAATGAGGTCTTACCAGGAAATCATCTCGCTCCTTGTCTGATGCATGGGATATAATTAAAATACTAGCTCTCTTTTCATTCTAAGTGATACTGTTCATTGAATGCCTCATTTTGAAGTTTTAGAGGCTTACATTTTGGCCTCAAATTCTTGCTTACTGGAAGATATGGTTGTACGTGCCTGAGATTGGGGTCAAGAATAAAAACTGTAAAGGGTTGTCTGTAAACTGTAAGAGGATGTCTCTCTCACTTAGTTTATCCTTGGTCTTAATCAGTCCAGAATGGCCTTATGTAACAACTCTGTCACACTCCACACTATCATTAGGAGTAAGTTGTATGTTCAGAGAAACGAAGTGTGTATCTGGTTTAGTGTTGGTTAAAATGTGCTGATTTCTCCCAGATTTGCATTTGGAATGGCTTTCAAGGAGCCAAAAAGCCTTTACTTTGCTGATCCCTTGGAAAATAGAATTAATTTTTTTGACCATTCTTGTCTTTGATGTGTTAGTTATTATCAAGTAGTGAACTTAAAGGTGGATGGAAATGAAAAGTCTCGAGGAAATAAAGCTCATATGCTTGTATAATATTAAATTCTTCCTTCCATTTTCCAACTAGTAAAAAATAAATCAGTGACAGGCTACGAGTGTGGAAAATGGGAATAATAAAATGGAGGATACTCTTAACCAACCACAGGTCCATTTGTGTATTTATATTGTGCATATATGTTTATAAACCTAGTGTTGTGATACTTTATCTTTCCAGCATCCTGCAGCATGTAATTTCACACAGCATACTGCGTAACTACTCCTGATTTTGTTTCACAGTGCAGTTTTTATTGCTGTGTTAAAACAATAGTCAACTAATTTAAATTTGGTGCAGAATTTATTTTATTTTTTCATCCTTTCTTATATGAAGTATTTTAAATTAGTATTTTTCTCTTGCATACTGTTTTGGGTACCCCTACTGAGCTAAAGCAGTTCCCTGATTATTTTCTCTGAGCGCTGAAGGACCTCTTGTCATTTTACAGAAAAGGAATTTTTTCTCCTATCTTGTTGCTTTCTTTTCCTGTACCTCAAACTAATTCTGCTCACTGCATCGTCTAAGATTGTTTCCCATAATTTTATTATATGCTTTAGATTTTTCACATTCAGGTCCTGTAAACTTCATCATTGCTTCATTTAAATTGCTGTTAGAAAAAAAATTACTATTAATTTTAAGAGTTAGCCTCCTTATTTTACTGGCTAGTCTGTCTTTACCCAGTTCTAACTTTTTATTTATTTATTTTTATATTACATTATATTCTTGAAAAAAAATTGTTTTCCAGTGGTGGTAGTAGGGAGTATTTCTCCTATGACAAATTTTTGTTTTAGATTTAACAGAAAATGCACCGAATTCTTTATTGTGTACATTATTTGGAAAAGAGTGGTAGATGTTCTGTGTAAACATGTGTAAAACTGATTCTTCTTAGTACTTTTGGATTATTTTAATTTTTTTTTACATACATCCATTATTAGAAGTACGTTTATTTTCCAAGGGAGGCATGACTGCCTAATTCAATATACTTTTATGAAATAGTTTCAATATATTTTCTCCCCACTCTGTAATAGGAAATGAACTCAGGGTGCAGCATCAAAAAGGAACAGTTAAGGTAAAATAATCTACAAACAGACAGGATGCCCGTAACTGAGTGCTTGATATTCCTACTCAGTGTGCTCAGGTTATTAAAAAATAAACATTTAAAGGAATATTAATATTTTTATTTGGGAGAAATCTGCTTCAAATGACTAAAATTTAGAACTGAAAAGTTGTGTTAAAATTACCTAATACAACCTCTGTTGTATAAAATAAGCAGATTAAAACCTAGAGAGAGGAAGTTGGTTTGCCCAAGTCGGTTGTAGTAACTAAATATGGGGTCCCTTGATAATGATCATTGCTTTTTCTTCTATAGTGTATATTCCATTTCTTTTTACAACATTGGTAGATAGGCAGACAGGTAGGTGTCTGTGTAGGTAGACAGATATTTTTGATTAGTCAGGCCTTCTGTGCACAATTTTAGAATGTCAAATTCATGTAAGTCACGACTTAGCTTAAAGTTCTTAGGGAAGGGTTTTTATTAATTTTAATATATATAAGATGTGCCTAATGGATGCAAAGCACTGTTCTACTTGCAGAAAGTGAGCAGTGCTATGTAGGAAATAAACAGGACGATGTCATTTTTAGAAGGTGATGTGGTGAGAAGTAGGGTCCTTCTTGAAACCAAAAAATCAGGTAAAGCATCTTTGAGGAGGTGATATTTGAAATCTGAAGCTTATGCCAACCCTTTGAAGAGCCAGATAAGAGGACTGCAGACAAAAGAAACAAAAAGTTCAAAATTGCAGACAAAGACAAGCTCATGTTCCCAGCAGAGAAAGAGGCTCATGTGACTGGAGCTTATGGAACCTGGTGGGAAAGTGGGAGGACATGAAACTGGAGAGCTGGCAGAGCTAGAGCCCCCGAGGCTTTGTAACCAAGCTGAGGAGTTCACATTTTATTTCAAGAGCAGCGGAAGGGACCATGTGGCCAATAGGATTAGAGAAAGATCAGAGTAGAGCATGGGGAACTCTGCTGCTGTCTGACGGGCAAGAAATGATGGTGGCTTGAACTGGGGAATGGTTGTGGGAATGTAAATATTTATACTAAAATTATGCATTTACCTTATTCAGAAAAAGCTAAGATAATGAATAGGGAGGACCTATTTTCCATTTTTGCACCGTTAATATCTAGCACATTGCCGTGTCACAGTGATGTGCAATAAATGTTGAGCTCAGTTAGTTACATTCTCCATTTTAGAATTGGAGGTAGTTTCCAAAATTGACTGAAAGTTTGTTCTGTTAGAATTTTTGTTACTTCTTGTCCAAGAAGATACATACTATAATTCTTACATAAGTTCTGATTTACTGGTTATAGATAGGATATTTATACCCATGGACGGAATGAATAATAACACTTTCTCAGCTTAAAAATAAATATTTAAATGAAATGTTAATGTTGAATGAATGCTTATGTAATGTAAATGAAATATTAAATGTTGTTTTGAGTCTCTTTTTTTTTTAATGCTTTTGCAAATGCCGTTGAAAATGTCAGAGTTGGTGAGTTTTATTCTCTTGGAAATTCACTCTGCTGGGTGGTTACATACTTTTAATTTGCTTGATTTGCTTGTTAATGATACAAGTGACTTGGAATGTGCCATCCAGTTGGAACTGGACAGAGGGAATTACAGGAATTTATACTGGCTGCAATGGCAATTAGAAGGCAGCATTTAAAAATACTGTTAGTTATTTGTATTTTGAATCCACTAGTTTTATGTCTTGGGAGAAAGGATTGCATTAGAGGGTGCCTTTTCTCTTCAGGTTGGCTTGCAAGAAGGGAAGCTAGGGAGGTTTATAAAATAGGTTAAATAAGTTGGTTCAGTGTCAGCCTCTGGGGTTAAGGTTCCTCATCTGTAAACTAAAAGGACGGGTGTGGGCTTCCAAAATGCTTTCCAGCACTTGTACTTCATGTTGTTGCTAATATAAACTTAATTTCTCCACTGGTCTTTCATGAGAAGTTGTAAGAAGTGTATAACAATAGGTTTCAAACTAAGCTACCAGTAAGTGTTTAGTGTTGCCTTCATAGCTCCTCAAGCTTACAATGTATTCCCATGTCCATATGAAACAAGTCATGTGGAATCACTATAGAATTTAGTTTATAAATGTAAGGTAAGCTTTTGGTGCCAGGATGTCTCATATGGGCCCTGTAATTCAAGGGATTCTCCATGAGTTTCCTTTTTGCTCCAATAGGAAGCTTCTGCCACATGGAAAATGCTTGTAATACCATGCTTCTGAGATTCCAAAACGACATCAGGTCTGACTCACTATCTTTGTCTATTCAAGCTACTATAACAGAATATCACACACTGGCTTATAAACAACAGAAATTTATTTCTCACAGTTCTGGAGGCTAGACGTCCCCAGATCATACTCAGGTAGATTCGGTGTCTGGTGAGGACTGCCTCCTCACTTTCAGCCGTCTTCTCTCTGTGTTCTCCGTGGTAGAAGGAGCAAGGGAGCTCTCTGGGGTCTCTCTCATAAGGGCACTAATCCCACTTATGAGGGCCTCACCCTCATGACCTAGACAGTTCTCAAAAGTCCCACCTCCAAATAGCATCACTTTAGGGATTAGGATTTCAAGATATGAATGGGAGGAAGGCACAGACATTCAGACCATAACCACAACTTACATATATTCTTTTCAAGTTTTTGTATAGGACTCAAGAAGCCATAAACACAAGATGATGAGAACTGAATTAAATTTTGGGTTTGGAAGTAGAGAGTGCACTGGATTTTGGACGGTAGATCCTGGATTTTAGAATGAGGCACACCCAGCCACAGCTGATTATCATCTCCTTGAGTGTGTTCCACCTTCCACTAGCCTCTCTGCTCCTCAGTTTCTTAAACTGGAGATGATTGCTACTGCCTCAAGTTGTGAGGGTTCACCTACGATTTTATAAAGTAACTAGTGTGTAATAAAGGCTCGGTAAATTATAACAATGACCATTTATTCTTTTAACTTTATAATGGAAACCATACTGATATCCTCCTATCTGAAAAAGAAACAGAAATTAGGGGAAGAGGAGACAGTAAACACCTAGGAATTGGAAAAAAAAAAAAGGAGAAGGAGAAAGAAGAAGAAGAAGAAAGAAGAAAGCCTTACCCATC